GGGGCATGATGTCCAGCAGATGGGTGCATTTCATATCCCACTGTTGACTAGTTGGGGAGAATTCTAGAATAGAAACAGAATCAGGATTCTAGTTTGGCATTGCCACAAATTAGCTATAAACTGAGACAAGGATGTTTTCGTGTGTGGTCCTCAGTTTCTTCTTCTGAAGAAAAGGAAGGATGTGATCAACATGGTTCAAATATCCCATTGGCCTCACATTTGGATTATATGAGGATACTCAAGTTCACAATCCCTTTTATGCAATTTGAAAAATTGTAAAATCTGTGAAACTCAAAAGCTCTCTCCTAACTTTCTGGTAGAACCTGGCCTGAGTTCAGTTGATATTCCAATCTTACCTGAGTGTGCATGAGTCCTCTTATGTCTTTATTCATTTCATTTAAAGCAAGTATTCATATGTCTCACTGCAGAAATGTATTTGATTATGGGGTGCTCTGCAGACCTGGGAGCATGCAGAATCCATCATATGCATCCTACGACTTTTGTAAAATGTAAGAAGTTCCAAATTCTGCAAACACACCTAACCTCAAGGATTTTGGATAAAGTAGTTGGGGTATATAAGCAATATTCACTCAACTAATATGTATTTAATGACTGTAATACATGAACCCACATATTAGGTTTGGAAGAAGCAGGTGAGCAAAAATCCAGTTGAAAGGGACTTAGTAGTTGAAGAGACAAATTACTATGAATAAGATTAATCCACACGGCTGAGGCATTCAGGGAAGTGACTAAATAGGTGGGCCTTGAATTTCAGGGCCCCGAAGTTGTGGTCACAGAATGGGCAGGTCTTCTCTGAAGATAGAGAATGAAATGCATCATAAATAGGTTGAATAGGAGCTCAGTTGGGCAGGCTTGGAAGGATGTGAGGAATAGGTGGGAAAGAAAAGTAACACCAGCCAGTGGTAATGGTTGGTGTCCCAAGTAAGACAAGGAGCTGAAGAAAGTCATAAAGGTGCTGTATTGAGGGGATTGCACGTAATTCTGGTGTGACTGCTGCCCGGGTATGTGAAGGATGGACTTCAGTGGAGAACGAGCGTGATCTCGTGGAGTGCACTGATGGAACATGTGGAGGAGACACACGGTGAACTTTTCCCTCAGTTTTCTCCCAAGGATCTTGCTGTAGAGAGTGGGACGAAGTGGAGGGCTGGCAACAGAGGACTCAGCAGAAAATCCACATCAGCTGTCCAGGGGGCAAAAGATGGGTTTCTGGTCTGAGGCCTCTGTGGGCAGAATCTTGAGAGGATCTTGTTTCTGGACACTTGCATTGTAGGAGGAGCACTCTGGCATTTTCCTGCTTTTGAGGAGCATTCTTGATCTGCACGTGAGCTTTGTGGTATGTACTTTAAAGTATGTGTATATGTGTCTTTCCATGAGAGAGAGACAGAGAGTGATCCTGCAGTCCACCCCTAGTCCCACAGCCCTTATCTTGGGCATGCACACACTGACATGCTCAGTGAGTTCCTGGGATGTGAACCCAGATCTTGCCCAGGTGAATCCAGCTGCGTTACCAGTGTGCCATGGCCTGGTTCCTGTGATGTGTACTTTTGAGTTCCGGAAAACTAAGAGCAACTAAGGAGTTCACCGAGAGCTATGCAGCAAATTATTGGTAAGGATATTGGTTGGTAAAGACAGATTTGTCCCAAAGAAGAGAGAACTTTCAATGAGACATATGCTGAGGAAAAAAAAACTATTGTACGAATCAGATACACATGCCAAACGTTGTGGGGGAGTAGGTTCTGAATAATTTCTTGGATTTCTCTCCCGGGGCCCCTTGAGTCACACCAGCTGCCTTCCAGGGGAAGGCGGGCCCAGTTGGTTTCTTCTCTGACCACTATTTAAGCACTCCTCCTCCCCTCAGTCCCGTGTCACTTGTGTGTGTCCCATGCATTTGGCACTTGCAGTACTTTCCTGAACGCATGCTGTCCTGTTCGTGGGCTCACGGTGTGGCAGCTGCTCATCGGGTGCTGCCTTGTAAAAACTTTTGTGAGCTCTGGTTACCCTGATGGGTTGTCACTTTCTGGCAGAATTAAGGACAGGTGTAAGTCAGTCACTTCCTGTCTGACAACAGCAATCACTTCACAGCCTGGCTGTCCCCCCAGTGCTGTGCCCCCTCTTTTCCTTCCTCACTCCTCAGGACTCTAGGTACCTAACTGCAGCCATAGGGAACGTCTCTCCATCTGTCATGTGAGCAGCATCTTTTACTCCTCTCTACCCCAGAATTTCCCTCTGCCTGGCATATGCACCTTCTCCTATGTGTTTTCTCTCCCCTGGTCTCTTTGACTTGTAAACTCATTCTTCTCCTTCTCTGTCCCACCAACCCTAGCATCTGGAGAGCTGACTTAGGCCTCCATGGCACCCAGGGCATAGGTTACTTGACAATCCATACAGGTGTTTCTTCTGAGCCCAACCAGTGGCCAAGCCCATTGTTCCATCCCACCTCTTCTCGCCTACCTCTCATGCTAGTTTGGAATTTTTTGTCATCTACTTTTCCCATCATTTGGTCTCTTATCCAGTACTGGATATTTTTCATTTTTGTAGCCCTTCTGCTAAATACAACCTCTAACTTGCAGGGTTTAAGGAATCAAAATAGTTACTAAGTCAGTTTAGGGTCTAACAAATAAAACTATAGTGAATATTTCTGTGTATCTTTGCCTGTCAAGGTCCAAAGTAAGTAATGGGAAGAAAAAAAAATTGAGATTCTTTTAAATAAGATTTCTATTATGAAAAGAAGAAAAACTGGGGCTTTTCCTGATCTTTAACTAAATTCTGATTTCCTTGAAAAATAAGAGTATGTCTTATACTTTTATTACACTTGGCATCCAATATGATAGCCACATATAGTAGGCACATAATGTACTTTGAATGACTGATGTGATTGCTTTCCTTGACCAAAGGGAGTGACAAAAGGCTTCTAAAATTTGATCCCAGGTATATTTTATTTTGGAAAAGGCTGGCAAGTGTCAGAGGGAAACAATTGATAATTGACCAATGGTCAAAGAAAGGCAGTGTGACTAAGGTCCAGGCATAATGAATTCAATGGTGTTTTCAAACTTGACTCTTTATTAAATGCATTTGGGAAGTTGAATGGACAGAGCACCACCAGGGAAAACTCCAGCTTTGTATAGTGGAATTCATTTTTGAGTATCATCAGATCCCATGTTTGAAAAATCTAGCCATGTTTTATTTTCGTTTGCATTTATAGAAAAATCCCATTTTATACTACTATTTATAGTCACATAAACCTTCCCAAGATTGCCAAGCAAATTGAAATGCCCCCAAACAACTGGCTATTGTATTAGATTTTAAATGATTTAGCCAGCCTGGTAAATGTGTTCTCCCTCAATAATTGAGAGGTGATGATGGGCACACACATCTGTTACTGTTTCATACAGCCTGGAAGAAGTATGTTATCTTTTCAGGTCCTTTTCCAGTTGTATTTTAGGTGGCATCATTTAGTACTGAAAAGGGTTTACATATGTTTGTTTGAATGCTTCCTGGGAGCCGTATAAGAGAAGTAGGTAAGGCCTCTGAGGTGAGGTGTTCCAAGTCTTCTGTCAGCAGCAGTTTAAGCCCAGACTGAGCGGATTATGATTGGCCAGGAAAGGTTCTAATCCGTTGACTGATACACATTACAAATGCAGTTATGCAATGTGGAAAAGTTATTTAGAATTAAGACACTATAAACTAGAATTTTAAAAAATAGAATTTAGGCTTCTTTCCATTTTTAACATAAACTCTTATTTAGTTGAATTTGTGAAGCTTTAAAAAAATCTTTAGTATTTCTTGAACAGATGCTCCTTATAGTTAATCTTGTGCTTAAATCGTTTGTTATTTATATTTGTGAAAATGGATTCTCACTAAGTAATTTCTATGATAAATGAAAAGGGGCTTGAAGCTTTTCAGGTGGCTTGTAGGAACTAGAAAAACTTAATCATAACTTTCCTCACAGCTTCCGTCTGTCTCTCTCCAAAACCTCTTCTGTATTCAGTAATAGAAGAAAGTCACACAGAAGGAGGAAAGAGGGCTGTGAACCAAGTTATCCATTGACATTGTGGAAGCCTCTGATGAAGGAAAAGAAATAATGGATTTTCTTGGTTTCATCTCTGTAAGAAGAATCGATTTTCTAATTCTACATGATGAAGTTTTAAACTTCTCTGTAGAATTACTCTTCTTTGTGAAAAGTAAGGAATTGTAATTTTGATTAGAATAAAAGTTTCTAAAACATTGGAAATCATACAGAAGTTGAAATTAGCCACATTCATATTTGCTTTGGGGCAAGGGAAGACTTTATTCTTTTGTACTGTTTTGTTTTTCTGCCTTCCCAAATGGCTATTCTCTCTCTGTTTTACTTTGTACCTTCAACCTGAGAGTAAATAATAGAGTCATCTAACAGACCACTGGGCCTGGCATTTAGTGGGTACTTGGTAGATATAGGATGAATGAAGGAAATATATATGAATGAAGGAAATGAATATTTTATATTATATTACTTGCATCTCTCCTAATGGAAAAATTGTTTTATAACTGATTTTTTTTTTACAAAATAATTTCATAACAAAAAGGTATTTTGACAATGGTATTGATGCATTTACTGGCTCTAATTTGCATTCAGCATTTTATTCCTGTTCACAGTTTGAAACCACTAGGTGTCTTTTCCCTTTTTGATCATGGGAAGAGTTGTCCTCAGTCTCCAGAGTTCTGTTGGGCATTACAGAGCTACTCATATACACTCTTGGAACATTTTATTAGGAATCGTGATTACATGGGAACTTGATGCACACTTTCTTTGAGCGATCATCTTTCTTCCAATTACTTGCAGTGTGTATATTTATTGCCTTATTCTTCACTTATTTTCAGACCTACCTGTAGATCCCAGAGCTGCCCTGAGGTATGAGGAAGGTGATTAGTCTTTGTCTTATCACATCATAAGGAAGTCTTCTCTCCTGCTAATCCAACACAACTCTTGTCCTCGTGTGCAGGTATAGTGGAGGATTACAAGCCACCATTCTATGATGTGGTTCCCAACGATCCAAGTTTTGAAGATATGAGGAAAGTAGTCTGTGTGGATCAACAGAGGCCAAATATACCCAACAGATGGTTCTCAGACCCGGTAAGAGGCCAGCTTCTTAGTTTTAGCTCTGTCCTCAGCTGTTTGTTATTTGCTTCCTCTGGTCTTCCAACTGGAGTTATCTGCCCTGTGTATTTTTTGCTTCCTCTCCCTGTTTTATGTGGATGGGTGTTAGACCTAGTTGAGTAGATTTAGAAGCAGTCTTATTCTTAAAAGTCATATCTGATAGATCTCATTAATGAACAACAAATATTCATAAGAATTTCTATGACTGACCAGCTCTAGGAACTGGGAAACTCAGTACCACTGCTGCTAGCAGAACTGCAGTTTTGTGTGTAAGCCTGGAGACCTTGAGTGATCCTTTTAACATCCTCTTCATCTCTGCATATCTGAAATTCCAAAGACAAGCTGCTCAGTGCTGATGATCCTGTGTTGCTTACTAATAAATAAGAACAGATCTAAGACATTGTCCAAAAAATGAGCCTATTTGTAGATTTCAGTATTATCTTTGGGTTAGTACTATTGATTTTAGCATCCGTAAGGCCATTGTATCCAACATGGCTTATGTAATTTACCCAATGATATAAGTTGATAATATGACTCCAAAAGGACAGAGTTCATAAGACTCTTAAGAGTTGCATCTTGGTGCCTGAGGCCTTGATTAGTTGTGTAAATAAGGCAGTAACATCACTTTAATTTTATAAGACCTGCGTATTTCTTCAAAACTGTTGATAGATATCTGCCCAGCTTCCAGAGCCATTAAAAAGCTGATTTGTCATTGTAGTGTTTGTTCTTTGTCTCCTCAGACGTTAACCTCTCTGGCCAAGCTGATGAAAGAATGCTGGTATCAAAATCCATCTGCAAGACTCACAGCTCTGCGTATCAAAAAGACTTTGACCAAAATTGATAATTCCCTAGACAAATTGAAAACTGACTGTTGACATTTTTAAGGTGTCAAGAAGGAAGATTGGACGTTGTTCTCATTGTCCAGCTGGGACCTAAAGCTGGCCTGACTGGTTGTCAGAACAGAATCCATCTGTCTCCCTCTGCAGATGGCTGCTTCAACAAGGCAGACATCTTACCCAGCCATGTGTTGGGGAGACACCAAAACCACCCTAACCTCGCTCAATGACTGTGAACTGGGCATTTCACGAACTGTTCACACTACAGAGACTAATGTGGGACAGACACTGTTGCAAAGTTAGGGAACTGGAGGAACACAGAGAAATCCTAAGAGAGATCTGGGCATTAAGACAGTGGCTTTGCATATCTTTCACAAGTCTCCTAGACACTCCCCACGGGAAACTCAAGGAGGTGTGGTGAATTTTAATCAGCAATATTGCCTGTGCTTCTCTTCTTTATTGCACTAGGAATTCTTTGCATTCCTTACTTGCACTGTTACTCTTAATTTTAAAGACCCAACTTGCCAAAATGTTGGCTGCGTACTCCATTGGTCTGTCTTTGGATAATAGGAATTCAATTTGGCAAAACAAAATGTAATGTCAGACTTTGCTGCATTTTACACATGTGCTGATGTTTACAATGATGCCGAACATTAGGAATTGTTTATACACAACTTTGCAAATTATTTATTACTTGTGCACTGAGCAGTTTTTACAAAACTGCCTCGTGCATATGTTAAAGCTTATTTTTATGTGGTCTTATGATTTTATTACCGAAACGTTTTTAACACTATACTCTGAAATGGAAATTTTCTTTTATTATTGGTTAAATTCACATTTTAAGTGCTTCACATTTGTATGTGTGTAGACTGTAACTTTTTTTTTCAGTTCATATGCAGAACGTATTTAGCCATTACCCATGTGACACCACCGAATATAATACTGATTTAGAAGCAAAGATTTCAATAGAATTTTAGTCCTGAACGCTGTGGGGAAAATGCATTTTCTTCGGAATTATCCATTACGTGCATTTAAACTCTGCCAGAAAAAAATAACTATTTTGTTTTAATCTACTTTTTGTATTTAGTAGTTATTTGTATAAATTAAATAAACTGTTTTCAAGTCAAACAGTGAAGTTGCTTTCCCAATATATAAAAAAAGATCAAGATAATATAAAGCATTTCCTTATGGGGGCTATAAAGCATAAAATTAATTTGTAAATTGAGTTCGTTTTTCAAGTCTACTAATGAACCTGAGAATATTAGGAGGATATTTTCCAGCTTGAATTTGTCATCAGAAATTCTGAGTTTCCTTGATTTCTTTTTTTGGACTGTGATTTTATTTCCCACTCAATCGCTCCATCTTTGAAGTCAGTAGAGGCTACAGAGCTCTTTGCCCTGCCTTTCTCATAGCACAGTTTTGAGTGTAAAGAAGAATGTTAAAGCGTTTGTTTCGTGGAAGACGTGAAGTGCATGTAAAGTGGTCTTCCTTGCTGCTTGGGAGAATCTGTTCTTGGCTTCTTTCACTTCTTGTGCCCAACAGGTTTGAAAAGGTAGGATTTAGAGTCTTCCAGTAAAAGAAGAGATGTGAAGTTTCCAGAATGTCCTGTAGAGGTAAGTTAATAACTTTATTCAGATACATTTACTTGGAGGGAATTTTAGTCGGTTCTGTTGCTAATAACACAAAATACCTAAAACTGGGTCATTTATAAAAATAGAGGAAATGTTACGTACTTGTATAAAAGTAGACATGTATGAAAGTATACAAAATTTCTATAAATTTTTATAAATTGGTTGCACTCAGAAGCAACACCCAGATTGAAGCAGAATGTTATGACACCCTAAAAGCCCTCCTCTAGCTCCTGTCTTTCTCCCCAACCCAACTGCTCTCCTGACTTCTAACATTGTACATTATGTTCATTTATTGAGGACTTTGTCAATGGAATATACAGGTGCATGCATACAGGAGTAGAACCACTAGGTGTTAGGGTATGGTATGTGCTCAGCTGTAATAGATGTTACCAAACCATGTTTCAGAAAGGTTTATTTAACCTACATTCCCACCAGCCATGCATGTGAGTTCTGGTTGTATGTTTTTAACAGTACTTAATATTTTCTTTATTGTCCTTTTAGTCATTCTGGTGGGTGTTGTACAGATCATTCATCAAAACAAAGCAACAAAAGGGGGAGCATGAGTAAATGAAACAAGTGGCTCTTGTCATTCTCCTCAGTGGCTATAGAACCCAAGTGAGAGGAATTTCTAAAATGTAAATATATGGATCTCAGTGCCCATGTGCTGGCTGAGTGTAAGTCTAGCACTGCATCATTTTTTATACAACATGGCCCTCGAACAATCAATAACTACTTCATCTGGAACTCACCATCGAAAAAGTTGTTGTTCCAATTCTGGAGGGTAATCTGGCCACGTTGACCAGTAGGTTAAGTGTGGGTCTTAAAATGGCACATTTATAAGCATTTTTTCCTTTATTTCTTTATTTACATATAATCACTATACATCTTAACAAACTACAGCATGAATTTTTCCCATCATGAATACAGTCAAGTCAAAGACATTTCCATATACATTATCATCAACTTTGACCACATCTAATTTTTGCCTGTTAGCTGGCTGAAGCCTAACCTCAGGGTTCAGGCAGATGGATAAGGTGAGAAGATGGAGTTTACTAGCCCATATAAAACAGGTTTATGTGGACCAGTGCTATGTTCGTGTCCAGTTAGGAGACTGAGGCCCACCCAGGTAGGTTTGCTGATCAAAAGGCCTATATCTTTTTTTTTTTTGGAGAGATTTTTGCTATAGGGTGCGTACACTCGCCAGACAGACAGAGAGAGGCATAGAGACAGAAAGCGAGAAATCACCCCCCGGGGGGATGGCCACGCCGCAATCCCTTCTCCATTCTCCTCTCGGGATCTTGGGCACGCACACACACGCGCCCTGCGTGAGTTTTAAGCCACCGGGTCTGGGACGC